GATGCTCGGCGTCAACTACTTTGTGCTACTCTGTCAAAACAATAGCGTAGTTTCCACAGCGCCGGAAGAGCACTGCGGAGTCTAGGCTACCCTCGACAAAGTATACAAACTGTAGAGTTGACTCCGAGTTCCACGATGTCTTTAGATTTGTTTCTAGGTATAGAAATATCAAGCAGTGCCTTTTGAAACGGTATGTGCTCTAGGCCACTGTTGTTAAAAAAAACGATATTGCATAGGTTACAGCTCTTAAAACTATCACCAGACAACGTAACAAAAAATAATAAAAAAAAGACGCAGCTCGCTTTCAAGGCCAGTCAGGACGTTAGAAATGAGTCTAATGACACACACGCTCGTCGTCCACTCGGCGTCGCCCAGTGGCACTTGCACGTTTTGCTGTAGCTCTTCGAGAGTATACTGAGGTCACCTTTGAGCGGTAATTTGTGTCAAGGTAGGTGTGTGTGTGTGTTTTCGCTATACACGAATCTCCCCCATCTTTATCGAACCGAACCTATATTTTCCAGACACGACGAACAACGTAATTGTGTTGTGGGTATGTTCAGACAGCGAAGCGTTTTAGTCACCCCCCCCCCCCCCCCCCCCAAAAAAAAAAAAAAAAAAAGGGCGACTGCTGTCTCGGGCGAGAAATTTAGCCAGTGCAGTATATATATATATATATATATAGGTGAGGCAGTAGAGTAGCTTGAGAACAATGGACCGGGAAAATGTAATAAGTCAGAGATCCGTACTTGCGGAGTTGCTACGCTATTAGTTTATTGCATGTATTTCGACAGTTTCGCCGAGAGGCTCGGCTTCGTCAGGAGATGGCATACATCTCCTGACGAAGCCGAGCCTCTCGGCGAAACTGTCGAAATACATGCAATAAACTAATAGCGTAGCAACTCCGCAAGTACGGATCTCTGACTTATATATATATATATATATATGGACGACCGTTAGCCTGCAGGGTGACAGGGTCTTGAAACGCGCAACGCGTGGCAGTGATCATACACGCGACCGCACGCCGGTACGACCTGTGCTTATTCAGAACGGAGGTCGGGGTGGTGGGGGATTGAACCCCGGATCCCTGGGTTCCGGAGCGAACGTCGCAGAATCACCACCGACGGAGCGACAGGATGATCTTTTGGTTGCTTCGCCTCCGGGGCGAGTTTTGTAACTTGGATAGCATGGCGGAAGGCAAAGAACGAGCGCGTGCATGGAGGGGAGGCCGGACGTCAAAACAGAAACGCCCTGCCTACCTCACATCCTGTCAAGTGACCATATTTAGTGCCTTCTATTTTTCGGCGTAATAAACAAAAATCACTACCATTTCGGGGTAAAAAAAGAAAAAAAGAAACGACCCAAATTTGCCGTAACGCGTGTAATAAACTCGAGGTTACGCTTAAAATAATAATAATACTTATAGTGACTGAGAGCTTTAAAATTATATATGTACTTGATTTTTATAAGATTATATTGATTTAAATCACTGGCTATAAAATAGTGTTTTTTTTTTTTTCTTTAATCCCTGGATGTATTTTCAAACGTGACAGATTTATTTATCGATCCGTCCAGTCACTAAAAGCAACCGGGCACACCGCGCGCGAGAAACGGGGACAACACAAAAGAAGTGCACACGGGACACACGGGCCAAGCGCTTGTCCCGTGTGCGCACTTGTTTTACTTTGTCCCTGTTTTCCCTTTTTTGCGCGCTGTTTGCCCAGTTGTCATCGCGAACCAACTAGTCCACATCGCTGCTAAAAAAAACAATACGAAAAACAAATAATTACTGTACATTTAAAGTGCAGATTGATTAACAGCAACTTATTGAGTAAACCCCGCCGTAGTAGAACAGAAACAGCTTGATATTTACTTTAGTTCATGTGAAAGCGTTATTTGCCTTTTTTTTTTTTCTTTTCTTACCTTCTGAATTTTGAGCAATAAAACATTTTTCTTCTATTGTTTGTTTCTTCATTTCGCGTTTTCGTAATAGGGCGTTACGTCACTGACGAAAATACAACACAAACGCACATTGTAAGCGTCAAATGATACACGAACGGTAAATAATGAAATATGTTTTGTATTATTATTTTTGCGGGAAAGGTTTGATGAAAATCGTCATGGTTAGACCGGACCGATTTAAATCATCTCGGTTTTTATTTTCCACCCTGCATTTTTTTCCCCCACACCATGATTCGCGTTAAATGAAGCGTTTGCACATGCGCGGTGCAGACAGCGGCTCCCCCTCGCGGTGCCGGCGTGACGTCAGAGAGAGAGAGAGAGGAGAGAGAGTTGAGTAGCTGTACAACAGAGCGAGGCAAAACGCTGACAAAATAATTAGGCACATATGTCTAACGACGGTGATACCACTATAGCTAGCCTAAAGCGCGCCTCAAATTACCGCGGAAAACTGGAGCGGCTACATTACAGCAACAAAGTCGAAACAATACAAAATGGCAACGCAAGAAAAAAAAAAGGGGGGGGGGGGGGGGGTTGAATGACGTTTTTTAAGACGGCAACTCCGCAGGGGGAACCCTGAGAGCCGTGGCCTCGTCAGAATGAAATAACTCACTCCCAGAAGCGGTGCGAACGGCAATTAGTATATAAAAAAAAAACAGTCAAGACTTTTTCTGTTTTTCTTCTGGGGTGTGTACAGCATTTATACACCGGTGCTTGTCTTTGCTTACGATCACTGCTTGAAGCCCATTTGGAAAATAAACCCAGCAAAAATAAGATAGAAAAAGAAAAAAAAAAAAAAGAAGAAAAACCTAGAAGAAAGGAGAAAAGGGATCGGAATTGAAACAACCCAACACCGAAGTTGTAACATGACATATTCGCCGCGATGAGTTATACCGAGTCGTCACTGACTAAATTAGCAGTCCACATATCTACCGCCGGGAATGTGTTGATAACAATCTATATCGCGTACCGGTTATGAGCGGTGGCGTGCTGCGGCTACCTTGGAGGCTAATTTGTCCTCTTAGCTTGAAATGAATCACGATTTCGTTTCTTCAAGCCGGCAACAAATCGGGGTTTTTTTTTTTCTTTTTCCAGTGGCTATGTTTTGTATTTGTGTGTTCAAAACAATTCGAATCCAGCCATAGTCATTACATATTGTAATTACCTCACGAAATACAACATAAATGGGAGAATTTGAGCTATGCTAAATAAACGAGGGCCTTTCATATTGTCAACATCTTCTGTAACCTGCAACTTTTTTTATTTGGCTAGGTAGTTTTCACAGTGTTACAGCACCGCACTACTGCGAGATCCACGTGAAGCTTTCTCTTGCATTCCCACGCGCTAGCGAAAAGTATCTCTAAAACAGCGTTCGAGCACTACGGAAGCTGGGGTAACCTTGACAGCGCAGATCGAAATAGTCGACGCCGAGCACGGCATTTTGTGTTTTTTGTTGTTTCTGTCTGCCTTACATGCGACAGCTGTTTCTGCGTGCAATGAATACGCTATTAAACCAAATAACGTGACCCTTCCTTTGTGATTTTACGGAGCGATTGTGCAGCATTCCCAGCTTAGATGATGCGTCCTGTGATATCATTGGGTACGCTTGAAACTGGCCAAACCTTCGTTTGATGGACAGACAGATTACTAACGCAAACTTTTTTTTTTTCTCTCGCCTAGTTATGTGTGCACAAGTGTCACAAATATATGCTTCAACTGAACGATAGATAATCTTGGGTCATTTCATTATTTGACCGAGTCAGTCGATTCATTTTCTGACAGCTAAAGAGGTCCGGAATATCGCCCGGTGAGGAGCTGCTCGCTTTACTGCTATTATCGTGTAACACCGAGGCCTTATTGGCTGTCGCCATGAGCCTACAATCGCTCCGATTATGCGCGGCCAACCAGCAGGGGAAAAAGATAAACTGAAACTAATTGCTCGTGCTGTAGACGCGCGTTCTTTCAAAGATAAATAAGAAAGCAGGATTTTTTTTTTTTATTTGAGTTTTGCAAACGTAAATTTACAGAAACACATTTCTGTTTTCCTCGCTCGTTCTGTCCAAAAAACAACATTAAAGAAGCACATTCGCTTTGTCCCGTTTTCATCCCCCCCCCCCTTTTTAAAAAAACAAACAAAAAAACAGTATGTCACTGGTCATACACGCAGCAACAAAGAAAACTACTGTCGTATTCTCTCAGCAAGCCTATACCTCACACGGCAAAAGAAAATAACTAGAGTTTCTTTGTTTCAATGTTTTTGTTTTTGTCGGTCGCGTTCATTGGAGAAGCGTCTTCGCGAACGCGAAAATCAGACAACAATTTGCCGCATACGTTCGCTGTTCCGCCGCTAGCCATCAAAAAGTGTATGTGTGGGGCCGTGGCCCACGCCGAAAAAATCAATACTCTCCCAACTCGTACAAGGTCGCGCGAATTAGTGGCGAGGGGGTGAGGGTGCGACTTTGCTCCCTCGCTTCTTTTTATACACTTGTACGACTCCCTATTGCCTGATCCACTGCTTCACTTTTATACGAGAGTTACCTAGATTCCAATAAAAAATAAAACGGTACATCTTGACCGACAGCGAGTGGGAAACGCTGGGTCGCAAACATACGAGCATGACAGACACGGTAATGACAGGTCGCGATGCTTACAGCAGCTAGCTGGGAGCGATAGATATGCCGTGCTGTTTAACGAACATTCCGATTCTCCTAAAGATGAGAGATAAACGTCGCGAGCGTTGCGTTCACTAAAGTTTCACACGAAACTCGCGCAAGGCGCCAGCTCAAAATGGTTCCTCCTTTCTTTGGGTTAGGGCTAGCGCGCCAAGGGCTCGGGCCCCGGTTTCTCAAAAACCTCGGCCGGAGCAGACAGCTGCGTGGGGCGGTTTCTAGGTACGCCGTAAACACGGATAAACGATTTCGCCCGAGTCCGTTGTTGGTCCGTCACGAAGACGCGTTCAAACGGTGCAGAGACCGTGTGCGGAAGCGTTACGCCGTATATAGAGCACGAAGAACCAGAAATCAAGCGTCGGATAGGAAACTCACCTAACCGAGAAACAACCCGGAAAGCTCGGAAGACCCGTAGCAGACGATCGCAGAAACCAGACGGATCCGGCTTGTTTCTTCACGTTTGCTCGAAGCAGACGACGAAAAATCTCGCTGTCACGGCATGCGCAAAGATCTTGTTCTTGCCGATCGCGGCGGTTTCCTTTTTTTAGCAGTCTTTCGCAGCAAGCAGCGCAATCACAACCCCGCCGAAACCTGCGGAGGCTGGAGCAAAAAAACACACACGAGGTGTTCACGTGAAAGAGAGCTCTCCTGTCGGGAGGAGCACACAACACCGCACCACACGAAGAACACCGACAACGCACGGCCGCCGCAGACCGCGCGGCTGACTAAACTGGAGCAAGAGCAGCCGAAGCCAGAACACCGACATACGAGAGAGCACGGACAACCCTCCTCCGCTATTTATGCTCCGGAGAGGCTCGTGACGTCACGGGCGACGACGCGGCGGGTCCACGTGACCTGACGTCACTGGGTGGAGGACATTGCACGTTCATCGTGCGTCGCGCGCGTGCTTTTGAAGTGGCTTGCTTTCTTGCTGCTAGACTTCGAGAAAGGGCCTCTCTCGATATGTGTGTGGCGGCTGGAGCCGGCTCGTGAAGGTTTTTCTCCGTGTCCGCTTTATGTGCACACCAAGATGGCGGCGTAGACCGGTTAATATGGACGGTAGCCAAACCACTCTTCTTCTTTTTTTTCTTTTTTTTTTTTCTCTTCCCTTGAGCTTTTGCTGTTGGCAGCTCAGTGGGATTCTGAGTATTCTGGTGTTTTGTAGCTAAGGTCGCGTGTTGACGTCACTTCGTCGCGCTGGGTGCAGTTTCTTGATCATTCTCCTTCTCCCCTAGTCAATTGCGGCTTACCATAAAGCTTACTGGGATGATAAAACAAGTTATTTGTACTCTTTCTTTTCTCTTCTCGTATTTTGTTTTCTCTCTTTTTATTATTGGATTGTACGCGGCACAAACCAATCTTGACATTATACGGTGTGTTGCCTGCTGTTTTCTTGTCGGGGGTATTTCCGCTGGAGAAAGACGGCTTGCATAATCGAAACAACTCGCTGATCACACGATGTTCCTAGTTGTTAAGTACAAATGTGTTGTGTATGTGTGCGTGTGTGTGTGTGTGTGCCTGTGTGTCGTCCGCAGTCACGGCGGGATTTCTGTTCAATCCCGTAAAGTCCGCGTAGGTGGTTAATGGCATGAATACCTTTTTGATATGTACGTGATTTTCCCAGGCTCGATGTGTCGGAAAGTAAACATTAAAAAAAAAGTTCGTAAACGAGAAGCTTTTCTTTTATTAGCTATTTGAGCGTCGAGCAAAAGTGCGGGGGAAAAGCACACGTACTGGAATTTCCCTGCGTTTCGCGCCAAAAATAGACGAGCAAAGCCGTTTGTGACCGCTGCCACAGCGTTCCGTTACCGTTAATTATTTCAAAGGTCAGGATTGGATTTTTACTCGCGTGTTTTCCGCACAACCGACAACATCGCTGCTGGTCCGAGCTTATTTTTCGAAGCTTTAGAAAAACAACGGACGTCTTTCATTGTGTGTGTGTGTGTGTGTGTGTGTGTGTGTGTGTGTGTGTGTGTGTGTGTGTGTGTGTGTGCGCGCGCGCGCGCGTGTGTGTGTGTGTGTGTGTGTGTGTGTTTCCGAACTGCTTAGCTCTTTGTAATTACATCAGAAAATCTAAATGTTTAACGTAACAAGAAAATTAAAGAAATATATATATATATATATTTTTTCTTATATCACTGAGAAAGAGTACGAAGTGACCGGATTATTCACGGATCGAGCCGCAACTTGATTCGCGGTTTTTGCAGACCTCATTACAACCAGGTGAATAAAAAAAAAAAAGTTGTTTACAGAAAGGTAATTCAAAAAAGTGATCTAACAACTTTTCTCGCCCTTCGTTTGTTCATCATGGGAATTCAGTACCCACAATCAACCACTCTGAAATCGCAGTTGGTGGCAAATACTCACTGCAGGTTTTATTTTTATTCCTTAGAATATCATGGTAAATACGTGGCCCGTACCAATGACCTTGAAGGTGCAGTTGACGGTAATATATATATATATATATATATATATATATATATTCATTGCATAAATATAAACGCCAGTGACAAGCGCCGGTGCATAAACGCCTGTGGCAAAAAAGAAAGGATTCGAGATGAAGCGCCTTTATTTTTTTTATTAGCAAACCTCTAAGCTTTAGGGAGGTGTTAAGCTAACATTTGTTATCATCAAAAAGGTTCTGGCGTAAATACTTTCGCTAGCCGAAGCTAAACACTTTTTTCTTCTTCTTCTACTGTGTTCAGGTGACTAAGAGAAATAACTCTCGGTTTGAGACAATTTGCAAAAACAACTCGTGACGCGGAGTCGCATACCGACAATCCTAGGCTCTTGCGTTGCGCGTGTTGGAGAGGGCAATCCGGTATATCTATTTTGAATTTCTTTCTTTTCGTTCCGTCACACACTCGGTTTACAGCCGTTAACAGTCGCAACACGTATAGCTTTATAGCTTGAACAGTAGCAACTTAGGCGTCCAAATTAAACAAGCAAAATACTCTAAAAAAAAAAAAGCATTAGTGTAGTACGTCAGAAAAGGTCGCACACGCAACCCGACAAGCGGCACCAATTGGATTTAATTCCCTTTTTCTTTCTTTGTCTTCTTTTGTCTCTGTGTTTTATTGATAATTCCCAGCTGGGATAAAACGTCACATCCTACCAAGAAACTGCCACGGTGTACACACAAACACCGACTCATCTGTTTATGAACAAGAGCGTATTCCCCTCACAGTAGTGTGCCATCGCGAGCAAAGAAGCTACTGATCGTCGAACAGCGAAGCATTCGCGCATGCTCCGCCTCTCCCGTGACGTCACACTTGGGCGAGCCAATCGCTGCAAATCTACTGTAAAAAATATGTTTAGACCTAAAAAAAACTGGGGTGTGCCCTGTCACACTGAGCATAGAACATCATGATAAGTGACGCAACATATGCGTATGTGCCCCCTCCTAATGCCTGCCAGCTGTTTCTGGGGCACAATAAACTTGAATGCATCGATTGATTGATTGACTGACTGATTTACGGCGCAGACTGTCCTTTTCTAGGTCTAAGCATATGTTGAGACCCCGCCATTCGTCGAGATGCCTACGTAGATGGCGGCGATGGGCTCAGCCGAGTGCTTTACGGGAAAGTAAGCGCTCCAGAACTCTTAGGTTGCGGTGGGCATCGCGCAGGCGCAGACACTTCGCCGAAGAGCGCCTGCTCCGCCCTCGGCGTCATGCCGGGGGGCGGAACGCAAAAAGTCACACGGCCTGACTTTGTTTTTTTCCTTCTTCTTTATTTCACTTTGGATTTTTCCCCCGGAAGTACCCAGAAAGGAATAAAAGTAGATGAACGTCATTTTGTCTAAAACAATTATCAGATAAAAACGATAACGCAAAAAAATACGAGCAAAAGAGACAAAAAAAAAAAAAAAAAAAGATCGCATCGCGTGTATTTCCAAATGCGACTAAACGGAAATGATTTTATGAATGGCTGACTCTCCACCGGCGCGTTTCTTCATCTAATTGCTTTAGCGCGCTTTTTTTTTTTTTTTTTTTTTCTGTGTATTCCTTTTTCTATCTTCTTTTTCGCGCTTATCTCGTACTAGTCTGTAGCCGTCAGTGAATGACGGCTCGCACCCCCTTTTGCGAGTGTATTTGCTCGGAACAGGTGAAAGTCCAGTTATCAGAAGACCGTACATAGATTAGAGAGACAGGATGTTTTGTCGTCGGTGTGTGTTAGTCGGCGAAGACAGTGCGTCGACGGCGACCATTTTCCACGTATGACACGTCTTCTAAGAGGTTATTGTACCTCTGTTTATGATCGTTAATGTCCTAGCGGGTCGCCCGAGGTCATACTGTCTATTCCTAATGACCAAAAACAAACACAAAAATGACATACTCCCTTTTTTTCTTCTTTTTTCTACGCAACCTTTATTGGGGGGATTGACAGCGTAAAGAAACGAAGGCTTATGCTGCTAATGCTTCTTGCTTCGTGATTGGCTACTGGGTGTTCTGAGAGGCCATGCCGCAACCTGAATGGCCGCGGAGTGATATTGAGATGCTGGGGATCTCGGCACGTCCTGCCTTTCTTGTCAGTCCCTACTGGGGAGGAGATGCAACCGTCACGCCCCTAGCGGCTACGTCAAGAACTATAAACACTTTAAAACAAAATTCTTTTTTTCTGACGCATTGTTTGATTGACGGGTCGTCATGGGTAATCCGTGCACCACGTTCGATCGAGGAAGCTGACATGAAGAACTTGGTTCAAAAGGCCTTGTGAGTAAACACCGATCCTCTGATGAGAACAAGCTGGACAAAGCAACCCTGATATACGTAGCTCAATGTCTTATAGCCAAAATTTACAGCTTTCCAGCTTTTATCATCCAGGCGAAAACTGTCGAGTCACTGGGCTTGTGGACGCGTGTGCGGTGTCTGATATCTCCTGCGCTTTCTCCAGAACGCGTTTATACCATATCCCCTAATTCTGGAACATTCGCCCCTCGCCAACTCTCTAGAAAGTTCTCAACAGTAACATACATGCTTTCGCCGAATAACTGCGGATAGTGTGCCTTCTGTTGGAAATCCCCCGCACAATGGCGGACAAAAAAGACACCGCCAATGATGGAACCCTAGGAACTCTACTAATGCCACTTCAATCCTAGCTTATCGCCACTGGGCAGCGCTTCGGACCTATTAACAGTGAGCACTTTGGTAGTTATAGACGGCAGTAATACAATATTAATTAACACAAATCAGAACATCGTGGTAACGCGCTCTTTGTATTCCTAGGTCCGACATTCTGGTTTGCATTGACTCGTATAAACCAATTTAAAAGAAGTTCTTTTTTTTTTTTATTATAGTGAAGAAACATAATATTTCCGAGGACCGAGATAGTGTATAACTCGTAGCACATTCTAAAAAAAGAAAAAAAAGTTCAGTATTTCTATGAAAACGTATTATTCCTCGAAACTTTTCGCAACCACAATATTGTCACGGGTGGTGAATGTGCTGACTTTACGGGTAACCCCCGTAAAGTCAGCACATTCATGTACAACGCCGCTCCGAGGCCAAACCACATTTCCAGGCGCTCATGGTCATTTGTTCGATGGTATCGGGCGTTTGCAACAACAAGCTGTTAGACGCCACGTGGGGTCTCGCAATGAAGCCAAAAGGGAACGTGTCGCCATGTTGGTCATCCACAGTCCAGTGGGCATGCAAAGATGGAAGCGCGCAGATGAACGAAGAAAACGACAATCGGAATGATCTATATATGCGCCATCAATTATGGCGTATAGGGGAAAAGGAGAAGAGCATCAAA